AGGATCATGATAATCGTTTAAAACCCCATTTCATTAGGCATGCATCTCTTTGTAAAGAGCTAACAAGTGTACCATTGAATTTGATATGAGATATTGTGAATTGACAAAATTAAACAACCAATAGAGAGCTTACCAATCCACCACTAATTATTAGCTAGCTTCTTTCGCTTGAAATGATGGTTCCAGTTGCTCTTGAAGTGTCGTATGCACCACCTTTGGAACCACTTCCAGGCTAAATCCAAACCTAAGATGGCAGCTCTAATGTCGGCGTGCCGATCAGAGATTATTGTCAGGTTCGTTCTCCTACTGCCGTGGAGCCGAATTTGCCGAAAAAACCATCCTTGTCTATCAGCATTCTCTCACTCAACAATGGCGAAGGCTAAAGGAAAGACTTGTTTGTTTGCATCCGCCCCACTGGCAATCAAGAGAGTGCCCTTGTACTTGCCGGTAAGGAATGTACCATCCACTTGGATCATAGTGACATAGAAGCCAAAACCATCAATAGATGGCTTGAATGCCCAAAAAAGTCGTCTGAAATGGCATTTGTTACCGGGCTCTGGCGGCTGTATCTCTTCACCTTGGTATCGAGGGGAGAAAACAGTGCCAGGGTTAGACGCCTCCAATGCCAAAATCAACCTGGGAAGGAATGCATATGATTCTTCCCAATCACCAAAGACGGCGACCAGAGCTTTCTGCTTTCCATGCCATGCCTTCTTATAGTTAATCATATAACCATAACGACTTGCAATGTCAGCGATTATGACTTTCACCTTTAGGTCAGGATCTTGCTCAATTAGATGCTTGATAGCCGCAGCAACCACCCTGGATTTCAACTGTCGATGGCCTTGGGATGTTATGGATGACATACATGTGTGTGTGTTCACCGCACAGGATATGACCCAATGGTCGTGTCTCTTGCTGTTGATGACCCGAATCCTAACATTGCATCCCTCGTGATGATTACGACATCTGACTATGAGCCTTTTCGTGTTGGAATGAGTTGTGTGCCATTCAAAATGTCGAGTCATTTCTTCAGTATCAATGGCGTGCCGCACCTCCTTCTTCGAGCCAAATTGTTGATCCTTCATAAACCCAGTGAGTGGACCCCATACTGGGACCTCTGGCGGCTCCATGTCGCTGTCGACACACCAATTCTCGTCTGGAATGTGATTGTAGTAGGGGACTGGTACACGGTCACGAGCCACCTCATCATCATTATCTGAGTCTGACTCTGGTCCTGAATCATCAGCACCTTCAAGAGGGCCAGAGTTGTCTGCACTGACGTTGTTCTCTCCTTCTTCATCGGAGGGGTCACTAACTGGTGCTGGCAAGGCATCCTCCATCTGATCCAGCTCATGAAAGGCACTTTCATCAGCTCTGTAGTTGTGAAAACTACCGCTGCCTGATTGGAAGTTGTACTCGGGTTGGTTGGCATGGTCCGGTTGAACTTCTTCTTCATATGATGGGAAAGATTGATGATGACCTTCACCTTGCTCTTGGTACTGAAAGTAGGAATGAGGATCATGGTAACTTTGGTAGGGATGATCTCCATATAATTCACCTCCACCATGGATACCAGATGTTTGACCGTGTCCAGAATGACCTCCAACTCCTACGACCGCCTCGGTGTAAACGAACATCTCGGCTTGGGAAAGATTGTTGGACCTCAAGAATTCGAGCATGGCATCTACTTCATCCTGAGTGGTTATGAGATATTCCTCGTGCCACAACAACCCGCCTACTCTGTTTGGATATCGGTACACCATACGATCAACTCTTCTCGTGACATCCATGCAAGTGACGCTAGTACACATTTGATAGAGGTCTTCAAGCGTCGGTCTGGTAGCGACCTTTATTTTCTGAAAATTGTCACCGATGTAGGTGACCCTCTTTCCGGTCTCTTCCGTGTAACCATTCCACCGTAACCCAAGCGTGAAATTTTGGAATGCCATCTGCAAAAAAACCGTAGTTCAGTTAATATCATAAAAATCACAAATCACAATAAAAGGTAATACAAAATAAACTAACGAGTTAACGTTAACCGCAAAAACACTAAAGAAGTAGGGAGCTACAACAGAATATTGAAAAAGGGAGAAGGAGAGGTGTGAAGAGAAGAGGTTTCCTGGGGCTGTCTTTTATAGGCAAAATCATCAATGAAAACCGCATGGGGAGGGTGCGGTTTGTGTGTCGGCAAGGGCAAAACCGCATGTTGAGGGTGCGCCGGTGCGGTTTGTTTTGGAGAAACAAAACCGCATTCCCAACGTGCGGTTTTGCTAGGTCAGACCAAGAACTGCACCTAGGCCATGCGGTTCTGTTAGGTCAGACACGAAACCGCATGGCCAAGTTACGATTTTGGCCCAGAACCTTAAACCGCACCTTGTGTGTGCGGTTCACAATCAAACCGCACCTTAGAGGTGCGGTTTTAAAAAAAGGGTGCTATTTTTGTAATTTCTATGGGCTGGGTGCTATTTTTGTAAATATTTTTAAAAATGTGCTATTTCTGGAAAAAAAATCCCCGCAATGGGTATATTATGTTCTCTGCCTTCACTTTGCATATCACCTACACTTTCAATTGGAGCTTCAAAGGTACTAGTGACTAAGTTTAAGGAAAAAGAACAAATTGTTAGAATTCATCAATTATCTTGGAAATTAAGTGAGTGAATAACTAAAAACAAATAAGAATTATTACCTCTTTCATAATCAATCTGGTCTTGATCTTCTTCTTTATCATCAATTTGGCTTGAATTCTTACCACATTCATACCGTATCCAATCTGCGGTACCAATAAAGGCCTCTACGATGTTAGAGTTCAAAGAAGACTTAAACGGACTAAGCACTCTACCTTCACAACTGAAAGCAGACTCTGAGGCATCCGAGGAGATTGAAACTGCCAGGATATCCTTAACCATCTATGAAAGGACGGGATATCTAACACTGTTTTGAGACCACCACTTTAAAATGTCGAACCTCTGATCATCATCATCCTCGTTAATAGCATCATCAACTTCTGTTTGCTATTTGTTGTATCTGCTCATCCATATAATTTTTTTGGAAGTGCTGCCTTTTTTAGAAGTGGAACGAGGAGGAAGGGATCCACCATTCGATTTACATGCTCCACGAGAACGATCACGAGAGGGTTTTGTCCTACAAAAGTACAACAATTTGACTTTGTTTTGTTAATAAAAATTAAAAACCAAATGCTCCAAACTAGCAAGAGACATTCACATACTGTTACCTACTCCAAACTAGCAAAAAAGTGAAAGACATATGGTCAATCTAGCACAATTGTCAATTACTCAATTCATTAGGTGGGCACTAATATCTAATTCATCTAAATTATCATTCATCAAAAGGCAAAAGCCAAAAGCCAAATAGAAACACAAACACCATGTTTGGTACAATCATACAAGTATGCTACTATATTTTGCTTCACAATTCAATATTAACAAAAAACTAATTTATCTAATTCATTAAATTGACCCAATCTTCTTGCATTTACATGCTGTCAAGAGTCAAGACTAACATTGTAATGTTGATGCTGCTTCTTGTTGAGGGTTGGTTGTTGTTGGCCTCGAGAAAGAGCTACCAAATGTATAAAAAAAAAACTCCCCGCTGGCCGCTACTTCTTCAGTTCTTGTAGAGGGCTGGCTGGTGGCTGCTTTTAGCCTCGTCGAAGAGCTACAAAAGGAAGGTAAAGATCAGTTGCGAGAAGGAGACGTTAGGTTGGTAAGATGAAGGACGCGTTAGGCGTACGTACCTTGGGGTCGACCGGTTGGGGATGGTGAGTAGGAAGTCGATCGTTGGGGACTGTGGCTGCTGGTGAAGAGAAGAGGATGACGGAGATGCTGGGGCGGCGTAGCTCTCCCCGTCGGCGACTGCTGCTGGTGCCTGGTGGTGAAGATCAATTTCGGGCCTGGGGAGGCGAGAACGATTTCGGGCTTCGGCGAGAACGACTTCGGGCTTGCACTGGCTGCTGGTGGTGAAGAAAAGAGGAAGAGGAAGGCCGGGGCTGGCTTCTAGGGGTGGCGGCCGGGGCTGGGGGTGGCGGCTGGGCTTTCCCCGAATCAAAGGAGAAAAAAGGAGCGGCGTGCAGCGGGGCAGGAGGTCGATCGCATTAGCGATTTAGGGTCGCTGGGTCAGGGCTGGCTACTGCTGGCGAGGTCGACGATTGCATTAGGGTTTAGTTCAACCCCAATTCCCAAATCCTTTCCCCCTGCGCTGCGTTTTTTTTTTTTTTTTAATTTGGTATTGCGGTATACCGATATTCCGTCGGAAATTACCACCAAGTATCCGGTATTACCGAATGGAGAATTTCACACCTGAATACCGACCGACGATATTCTGTATACCGGATACTGTCGGTATATGATAATACCGAATACCGGTTTACCGATTACCACCCCGCCACGTGGATCGAGTATTTTTTATTTTTCACAAACAGCTTAGCGCCTTAGCTCATTACCCCGACCGGACTTCCAAACATAGCTTGACGAATTACTACGCAAAACCACAAAACAGGTAACCAACCTCGGACCATAGATTCGTGGGTTTCCTCTTTCTTATAATCCTTACATTTTAAAAGGGGAATCTGCCAGAAAGATCGAAAGAAAGAAATAAATAGAAAAGGTGGCAATGAGAATCTAATGTGCTGTGAAACACTCTGCGATGCCAGCCCAGCACCATAGACAGCCACATGAAAATCATACAGAAGTGCATATTCTCTTCCATATCAATACTTTATTAATTACCCCCAACAAAACCCGAATCGTCCGACTAACACAGCATTATAACAACAGGTTTCGCCAAGTATTACTACCACCCAGAAGAAGAGTCCATGGCTTGCTAATTGCTATGATAGGAAGACAAAAGGGAAGCTTTGATTTGGGGGGTATCGATAGATGATTCAAACATACGTCTTCCCTACAGAGACGATACAACCAAACCACAAAAGTCTGGCAAAGGAAAGCTTCGCATTTTTACCTGTACTATTGTGCTGTTCGGTGCGGTGCTGTATTGTATTGCGTTACCCCCACCACCAAGCCGCCACTGATGGCAATGCTGCTGCTGCTGCTGCTGCTGGAAAAAGCACCGCAAAATTTTCAGAGCTGGCTGCTTTCAGTATCCACAATTCTACACCAACAAAATCAGAGATGAACACACTGCAAAACAGTGCTGCTGGTGAGTCAAGAACCCAATCGCCCCACCAAATCCACCAGCCAAGCCATTACCCATACATGACTTTTGATTCAGAGTTGCCATGACTGAATGATATGTATAGATAGGATGTGAAAAAGAAAAGATGGCAGACATAGAGATGTTTAAGTATTCAAGGTTTTACAGTATAAAATAAAATATACCCAGACCTGACATGACCACTCTCAGTTCCTCTTTCTATAGCAGCAGCAGCAGTAATAGTAACATTAATGACAATACAAATAGACACCACCTCACCCACAAGTTCCTTATTATCTACCACAAAAATACATTTAGCTCACCAAAACCCCAAATATCAATCAAAATAAACTCAACAATGAACAACTCCACAAATTTCATAAACCCACAGACCATTTACTTCAAAATTGTTCTCCTTTCATTTTCCGTTTCCACCTTCTCTTTCAGGATCTTCTTCTCTTTTCCTCCTTATTGCTTCTCCCCTCGACTACAATGGTTGTGTAGTCCGCTGCTGCTGCTGCTGCATGATCGGCTCAGCTGGAATCTGAACAGACCCTTCTGCCAACACAACACCTCCGCCACCTGTTGTCATGGTTTGGTATTGTGAAGCTGGGATTGATGGCGCCAGAGGCTGTGTGTAATATATCGGGCCAGGACCATGACCATGACTAGGATCAACAAACTCATACCCATAACTAGGAGTTCCAGCCGAAGCAGCAGCAGGGGCCATAGACTGAGACGGATGATGATGAACTTGTGAGAACCCAACATACTGCTGCTGCCCAGGAGAAGACAATGCAATCAGCTGAGGCGTCCCATTATTTGTTGTTCTGTACATCATTTCAGGCTTGGGGACAGGAGCATTTCTCACTGGGTTGTAAGCTGCTGGGGCAGCCGCTGACTGAGGAACCATTGGAGGTATAGTGGGAGGTGTTTGTGACCTACCACCGTTGTTTGCAGGTTCACCAACACTAGATTGTGGTTGTTGCACCGACTGCAGATTATAGGCTTGGGGTTGTCGTGCTTGCACATAATACACTGGGTATTGCTGATGATGATCCATTTGATGGATGTGTTGCTGCTGCTGTGGGTAGACAGGGTAGTAAGCTGGAAGTTGCACCGCCCCAGAAGGGTGATGCTGAATGTAATGACCACCAGCATGTATATAGTGCGGCTGTTGTTGCTGATGTTGTTGCTGCTCAAACTGTGCTAGCAATAAATTACCAGAATCTTGAAGTTGTTGTTGAACCTGAACACTGCTGGTGTTTGGATCCACCAGGTTAGAAGCAACCACCCTGTTTGCTCCATGAGGAATTTGCATTACCTGTTGTTCTTGACTAATTCCAGGTTTTTGTTGTTGTCTATTCATGGCATTGCTAAAGCTACTATCACTGCAAAGGAATACCAACCACCCAAAATTCAGATTCTGATCCCTCATATCCCACAAACAAATTACAGCAAATGTATCCAATTCGACAATTTCAAGCATGCAAAAAGAGAAGCTGAATACCTTGACATGGAATCTGGAGAAAGCAGATCATTGGCACCGCCGCTACCACTACCACCACCACCAGTTGATCCTTGTTGTTGTGACTGCGGAGGAGGCATCTGGGGCTGAGATTGTGGTGGCGGAGGCCTTCTGTACTCCACCGGTACCCCATGATCGGATCTCTCATCATCAGAGATGATCCGATTCTGATACCCACCACCCATCACCGGAGAGCCAACAGGGACTCCAGATACAGTGATCGAAACTGGCATCGGAGGTGGAGATGAGATGATCATGAAACCCTCGTCTGGCTTCTGCCCACCGCCACTGCCGACACTAATCTGAGCAAACTGCTCCTCGATCCCGACCTTCTGCTGATCCAGACCCACACCTCTCACCCCTCCGCCGTCGTCGACATGCACTCTAATCGGAGGCAAATTCGCGAGGGAAGGCGACGAAGAAGTCGACCCAAATGACGACGTCGTTTCCAGCATCGGAGAATCGGGCACCGAGTGAACATCTTGCCCTTGCTTCGCATTCTTATTCGATCCTTCTCCATCTCGGGCCTCGCCGCCGCGCCCAACACCAACCAAATCGAGATGATTATTGGGATCATCGTCAAGTCCCAACAAGCAATTCACAGAAGCGGAATCGGAAAACCCCCTATTCAACAGCCCAGCCGTGGCCCCGTTGAGGGCATTCAAAAACCACTCATCCTTGGCAGCGCTGTTCTCCAGAATCGGGCCGATCGACTGCGATGAATCGGGCTTCGTGGGGAACAGGAACAAGCGCAGCCGCGAGGGTTTGGAGGAGGCGCCGGTGAAGGTCCGGTCGTACTCATCGATCATGTTATCCAAATCCTCGTCGGTGGTGACGGAGATGAGCGAATCCAAGTCCTCGCTAGGCAACTGGTACTTGAGCGTGAAGGGGCGGCCGTTCAGGAGAGTGGTGGAGAGCTTAGCCGAGAGACCGGACAGCGAGGCCTGGCGGTCGACGACAACGATGCGGGTGTCGCCGCCGACGTAGCAGAGGGACTTGTCGTGGGGACGAGGGACGATTCGGCCGCCGTATGAGCACATGAGGCGGAGCTTGGAAGAAAGTGGGGGCGGTTCATCGTTGAAGGACTCCGTGGTGCGGGAGCGAGGGGAAGAATCGATGGAATCGGGGTATGAAGCGGCGGGGGCGGTGGTGGTGACGAGGTGAGAGAGGACGCCGGATGTAGGTGGGGCGGCGGAAGAGGGAGTAGAGGCTGGGACGGAGGAGAGAGGAGGAGCGGAGGAAGGAGGCTGGGGCTGTGGGTCCATGCGGCGGAGGAGGAGCGGCGGAGGTGGGAGTGAGGTGGAGCTGATAATTATTAGTCTGATGGAGAGAAAAAAGAGAGGAATTTAGAGCTGGGGAAAAGGCGATGCGCTTGCATTGTATTACTCTCTCTCTCTCCTGCCATTCCATTTCCCCTTCTCCATAATACCAACCTGGCTGCCCAACCCTGCCCGCCCTTTCTTCATTTCCCAGCTGTCTCTTTCAGTTTTTACTTTTCTTTTCACTTTTTTCCATTTTAATTAATTAGGGTTCTTGAATTTAGGATTATAATATTTGGTGGGCCATAGCGTACAAAGGCGAAATTGTTAGACCGCCTCTGCCGTTTCTCTTTTTTTATTCAACAGGTAGTGCTGAAAGTTTGGTACGGGTATTTGGGATAATATCGAATATTCTACTGAATTTAGTATTATTTGATGCTAGTGAAATTGGGATAATTTTTTGGAAATTGGGATTAAAAGTCATTTTGGAGTGCTATTCGGTATTCGGATCACGAGAGCATTTGTGTCGCCCAAAAAGTTATTCGGGATTAAAAGTCATTTTGGAGCACTGGGTCTTTTCAAAGTGAAATTATTTGAATGATTTGATTAGGCCAAATACACTTGCATAGCCAAAACTTTGACGGTTTTGCCAAATATAGACACTTTTGGCGAAATACCAAAAATAGCCAATTTCGTCCAATTGTTTGACGGTGTTAATTAACGTGCTGACTGGACTAACAGCAGTGGTTGGCGTGGCATATTTTATTAAAAAATAATGTTAGGTGAAAAATAATTAAAATTTTATACTTGTATTTTTAATCAAATTAAATTAAAAAATCATAAAAACTATAAAAAAAATAAATCTCTTTCTCCCCACCACCACCGCCTGTTCACCTTCATCAATACTTCCTACCAGAAGCTTCCTCTTCTGCAATCACCAGGATTGAAGCCTTCCATAACCCAAACAACAACCAATTAAGTGCTCAACCCTCCACAACTTCCTAACCCAAATATAAATACAATTGAAAATCAATCTCTACCCATCAATTCCTACCCTTATCCCGTCGTCGATACCACCACCACCATTTTGAAACCTTCCACTTTTTCGAGAAGATTTCCATGACGGTTGGTGGCGGCGACCCTTTCGCCGACAAAATTGGAATAGTCGACCCAAGTGGTGGTGCTGACAGTAGAGAAGGAGCCTTCATTTAGCGCTAGTTTTTCCTCTGATGTTTTCTAGTACTCGATTCTCTTTCGGCTCTCCTCCTCTGTGAGGTGGATCTGGGGTGCTGGAGTCGAAGAAGAACTCTACGAAGGAATCGTCTTCTTTTTGGAGGAATGGAGAAGGCATACAATTGAGATCAAATCCCCAATCCACGCCGCCACCAAACCTCCACAAATCCCCGCCCCCGTCACCTCTCCGCACATCACATCCTCATCCTCACCACCAACGAAGGAGAATCGAGCGCAAGTAGATCCCCGCCCGCCGCTCGGCTACAGGAACCTCGTCCCCGGGATGAGATCTCTTCATCGTCGGTGGCACGGCGGTTGCACCTGCAACTTTAAGCTTGTGGCTGCCGTGGGGGTTGAGAATGGAATTAGGCGTGGACAGATCAAGTGGAAAGAGACGGTGAGTCGAGTTCGCCGATAAAATCAGTTCTTCTTCTCCGCTAGCAGCAACAGAGGAGGAAGAAGATGGGTAGAGCCGAGAGCCCAGAGTGGAATCGATTCTATCGGCGAGATCCTAGGGTTGGATTCCAGGTTTTGAATTGGACCATTTTGAGGAGGCATCATTTTTTGGATTTACTGGTCGGAGGTTGAAGATGTTGGTTTGCGGGCTTGGGTGAATGAAAGGGTGAGATAGTCAGATAGAGAGAGGTTGGACCAGTGGGGAGAAAGAGACAGAGGAGTGGGATAGAGGTTTTGTTTTTTTTTTTTGGGTCAAAAGATATCATATATTGATCATTGCAGAAGATAGTTACACCCTGGAAACCAGCCAGGTCTGGAAATCAAAGAAGCGACTCATAGTTGGATACAAAGAAAGGGCTTTCCTAGCTACCAAATGAGCTACCCTATTGTTCTCCCGACCTACAAAACACACACTAAACCCACCTGAGTACGAAGATAATGAACAACCTCTTCAAGCACCGCACCCAACCGGCTATCTCTTGTGTCGGCCTGAATAATTTTATCAATTATCAATTTTGTTGGTGAAGATGAAGTCAGGGGAAAGAATATGAAATAAAAAATCAAAAAAAAAATTTTGTTAAAAAATTAAATTTTTTAATGTGAAGTGTCATCCCACCAATAATCCAAATTAACCAATTCAAATTAACCAAATGCTACTGGTTAATATGGTTACCACGGTAACCAATCCGTTTGAACACCCCTAATTTCCGATCCATATGGCGACCAACGTATCCGGTAATATTGTGGTGGTGGTGGGAGTGTGAGAATGTGGTGGATGTTGTTATTTCGGTGGTGGTGGATTAGGTTAGCCCCATTTGATTAGGCAGCGGATGCAGAAAGAGATGGACGCGGCAGCAAAGTAGAGAGGGAGAGACAAATTTTTGTTTCATTTTAGTAAATCTAAATATAAAAATTGGTATTTTGTGAAAATATGAATATTTTAAGTAAAAAATGTTGACTGTGAAGTTATGTGGTGAGCTGACCGTCAGTTAACGGTTTTGACCACGGTCAATACTCGGATTTGGCAAATTAAGTAAAGTTTAGCATTAGTTCAGGCCATGATGTTAAATATGGGAAAAGTTTAGACCAGAAAAATATATTAACCCTATATATTATCACATTAAATGTACAACTTTAGTTGTATCATAAAGACTTTCTTGTAAGCAAAAGCACTGATACTGTAAAACATTGTAAAATTTCTCCTGTTTGTTTGCCTCGAGTGAAAAAGTAAGCAACAAGTAGGTCAAATTTTGGTATCGGTATTTGAGATATACTAAATATCATACCGAATTTATCATTGATTGGTATTATAGAATATCGAGTTATTTTTTAGGGATTGAAATGAGATTAATTTTGAAATTTTATTTGGGATCGAGATTATGAGATTGAGATCGGTATGTAGTCTACAACTTCTGGTCATTCCAAGTCCCTTGTCTACAGAAGATTTGTTTTTGCTTTCTATCGTTTGTTAATCTTTTGTGCTTTACGGGTTGTATTTGTTTTTGTTCCTGCAATTTGAGTTAGTTTATCGAGGAGTGCAACTCCCAAAATTTGCAATCGATCCAAAGATAGAGAGGACCTTGCATAGACGCCGACGAGAGCAGCAATAACTCACAACCATTGCCGAAGAAGATAAGACATTGGTTGACAATGAAGGCAATAACAAAACGATGTTGAACAACTCTTGGCCAACATTGGATGACATCATCACGAGCATCTAGTTCCCTAACATTGCTCCCAACAATGTTGACATCCCATCTTGGGTTCTGAATATAATTCATCATAATCATATGTTTAGAGGGATGCCATATGATGATCTACATGCTCACATAAAGAAGTTCATGATGTCAACCTCTAAAGTCAACATTAACAATGTGACATTGGATTATGTAAAAATGAGGTTGTTCTCTTTCACTTTAGAAGGAGCCACCTTAGACGGGTTCGAATCTCAACCACCAACCTCGATTACCACGTGGAAAAAGTTTAGTGACTTTCTAGGTCACTTCTTTCCTTCATCTAAGGGGTCGTTTGGAAGTTGCGATTGTTAAATAGATGTATTGTTGAGAATGCATGTATAATATTATACATGTATTGTCGAATTTGATGCATTGTAGAATACAACGTTTGGTATGTGTGATTGTGTATGTCGCATCAGCTAAAAGCTGAGACAAAACAATCTCAACTCAACTATCTCAACAATCACAACTAAAAGTTGAGATATAACAATCACTCAAAATGAGTGATAGTTTCTGTCACATCACAGAAACAATCCAGGTATTGTTTCTGCTAAACAAACAAAAAAACGATGCATTGTAAACAATACATGCATAATAACAATCTCAACAAAACTATCGCAACTTCCAAACGACCCCTAAGATTGCTCGCTTACTTGGAGAAATCCTTTCCTTTAAGTAGAAAGATGGAGAGACCCTTTTTGAAGCATGGGATCGTTTCAAAATATTGTTGAGAAGATGCCTTCATCATGGGATATATATTTGGATACAAGTCAATGTCTTGTATAATTACCTATTCTATTAGTCTAAACAAGCTCTGGATTATGCTGGAGGCGACCATATTCTTGGTGAAACACCTCCTCAGATCCAAAAATACATCAACAATATGGCTGAAAACAATTATGGTTGGTATAATATACAATCCAAACTACATAAGTCAACTGGTCTTCACCAAGTTGACCCAATTCAATAGTTGGTTGCACAAGTGGAGGCTCTAACTCACAACACCACACCTTTGAATCATAAGTTTGACCTGCACACTAAAGGGAAATTGACATCTTTAGCCTCTTATGAATTATGCAAAGGAGTTGACCATGATGCTAAAGACTGCTACCTTGCAGCAGGAGGAACTCAAGGCAGCTAGATTACGTGGGAAATCCCCTATGCGGTGGTAATCATTATAGTAATCCCTATAACCCTAGTTGAAGGAATCACCCAAAATTCTCTTTGAATGTTTATTAGAAACCATGGACACCTCATGGATTTAATCCGCAAAACCAATTCAAATATAACAAAAATCAACATCTCTCTCCATACACGAAAAACCGCTAGATATGGAGGACATTTGAAAAAAGTCAGTACAAGCCTTAATATGAAAATTGATAAATTCACGGCAAATGCCGAAAATTGCCTCGAAACATGGAAGCACTCCAGAGAAACCAGCAAGTTGCTATCCAAAATCTAGAATCTCAAATAGGCTATATTCCAAGAATTTATGGTTTGTTATTTAGCATAGGGCAAGCAAATTAATAAAATTATCGAACCCTAGGGGCTTTAGATGTGTCTTTACTTCAACTATGGTTCTTTATTTAGCCAAACACGAATAGTGATTAAGAAACTAAGCTAACTAAGTTACTCTACCAGACTACCACTACTCTAACTATTACAAGGAGGGAGCTCACTTAGGCATGAATCCCTCCTAGTCCCGTCATACGACGATCTAAGTACTACCTAGATTGACTGACTTGGTCCTTATATCACAGAGATTTCTAGACTAGATTGGACCCCCTATTCGAGATATCTAACCCCTCTCAATTGTACAACCCATAGGGGCGTACCACACAGCCGACCTAAGAAACTGAGGTGTTCACAACCAACTCCCACGATTGTGTTAGACCCAATATGACAATATGGATCTTATAACACTTGTTCAATGACCCATAGTGAAGGATTGAAGGTGCTCTGACACGCCAAAACACAAAACCTAACAATGGCCAAGTGTAACCAATGAAAGTGACTGCAGTATAGTGGCACAAGTAATAAATATCGAATCCACGGGTCTCTAGAGTTATTATTACTCAGCTTCAGTTCATTATCTAGCAAACTAGATTAAGGATTGATTTACTAAACTACTCTACTAACTACTCTACTAATTACAAGTTGGGAACTCACTTAGGTATGATTCCCCCTAGCTCCTCAATTAGGTCCAAGTTGCAATTACCTTTGGTTGATCTACTAATGATTAAACTGCTGAAGATACTAAATTAGCTTGGAATATCTTAAGCTGACCAAACCCTCTTAGACAGAATACCCGGCAGGCGACTAGCCTTCACCGGGATAGACTGCTAAGGCGATTCACACAGATCTCCACTACTGGAATGAATTCTAGTACAAAGCAGTGAATTGATTGACTCTCGCACAACCAATTCACCACTATCAATCAAGGAAGCTCTCTTAACCTAATCAGATTCTATCTATCATAGGTTAAAGCAGAAATCAAGAGAATTTGATCAAGATTCAATTGACTCAATAAATCATGCCTCAATCAATTACAATCAAACAATATAGCATCCAAAACTTCATACAAGAAAGATCCTAACACATGGAACTAGGGTTCCTCAAAACCTAAGTGAAGGGAAGTTACTCCATAGAGAAGAGAGAGACTGCAGAAATCTGATCTAGATCTTCAATCTCCATCTCCAAGCTTGATTCTCGAGCTCCAATGGTGAAGAAATCCTCCAAAATAGCTCCAAGAATGTTCCCAAGTCGCTCTCTCTCTCTCTAGGGTTCGTCCCTTGGGTGTTTGGAATCCAAAACCCAGCTCTCCCTCTCCTTTGGCTCGAAATTTGTCGTAAAACAAGAGATTCCCGACTCACACGGCCAGGCCACACGACCGTGTGGCTTTCCCAGATGCCCGTGTGAGTGCCAAAACGCGGAGTTTCGATTAATGGGCAACCAGGAAAGCTACACGGGCAGGGGCCACACGGCCGTGTGGCTCCCCAGGATGCCCATGTGAGTGCTCGGTAAATCGCACACGGCCACGTGGCCAGGTCACACGGCCGTGTGGGTTTTTGGTGTGCCCGTGTGGCCTGCTCAGCCTTTGTTTAATGCTTCGTTTCTCCCTCGTCCGGACTCCGAATCAGTCGCCGTTTGATCCCAGACGCTCGTAGTCTCGTCCTATTTCTTTTCATGACAAAATTCCATGATTATTTGTCCATAATATGAGGTAGAAGTCCATTATTCCTCAGGTCATGCTCGTGTTTCTTCTCCCGAATTGCCAAATGATCTCCGATTGACTTGAAACTTGCGCCTATGCTTCAATTCACATGCTAGGATCTGAAATGTGACAAAGGAACACAACCTAGCGTAAAATAGTCCAAGAAAGCAGAAACTCAAGCCAAAATGATCAAGAAACGAGGGTGCAAACATGTGCAAATCCGATGTTATCAAACTCCCCCACAATTAACCGTTTGCTTGTCCCCAAGCAAACCAAGTCAGACACAAGGTAAGCTCACAATTTCAATCATACCAACATTGGGGACAAATCATATAGGCACAAAACATGGGAATCACATCAGCTTTCAAACATCAACACATGAACAACTTCAACCGCAACCTAGACAACCACCACAGAGGACATTCGAGTGCAGCAAAATCGAGTAAAGGAGGAGTCTCCCTTCTGTTCATCAATCAACATAGACTTGACTCAACCACTTACTCAAGACAGTCACCTCATGCACAAAACTCAAGATATCAGAATAGCGACCGAGCAATCTAGGTCCTCACCGGGGTACAAGAGTATAGAGAATATGAGAAAATGAATCGCTCACTCTCGACCAGTGGGGTCAGGACAATATGAGAAAATGCGCATGCTTATTCTCTCAATCCCTAACATCTCTTCACCATGACGGCAGCCTCTAAATGCTAGAGTTCACACACTTGGTTGTCATCACTAACTAATCCGGAGGTCTTAGACACAGGTTTAGATGACTGGCTAGGGTCTTGGACATGGGGAAAAGGCCTTTTAGGTGGTGGAAGTATTCGTAGCACAAGGTTCCACAATTCCAAACCCAACACAATCACAGTCAATCAAACCACTTACTTTCTTTCTGCCATTCTGCATTACTCAAATTCTTACGAGCACACGAGCGAAGGAGGTTACATAAATGTCAGCATTTCCAAGCCAAACTGCTAAGAAACACTACTTAATGGGCACTATTCAGATTTTTGGTAGTGGCTCCCTTTTGCTTTCATTTTTTTTTTCATTCCTTAAGAGAACCACCACCTCTGCATATATTTCAAACATATGCCCAACTTTTAAGCACTACCTCCAACCCTCATATTATATTTAGCAGAAACAGCAGAGAACATGTAAAAACCACTCTTTGGAACCTTCTAAAAGATGCAAAAAGGGTGACTTTTCATTGCAGACCGAAAGAAAGGATAACACACGACTCAAAGGGGCTGACTAGGGGGTATGACACACCAGGACAGTCAATTTGGTCGTGGGCTAATCCTATGCCTCCATCATCTTAGCTAATGACAACGTGAATGCTTCACATCATGGAAGAGGGATCTATCGCACAAGAAAGAAACGAGCGGCTCAAATCTCACATGGCTACCTATATGCTCTATCTCTCATTCTGATTCCCTGAACTAGATGCATAACCGACTGTCAAGAACAAGTGATCCATTCAAGTCACAGTTGGTAAGCAAACAGTTGAAAAACTGAACCCCTACGCAATCCTACTGCACGTCTCAGTCATCATAATAGGCTGTCCTAGTCACAATCCAGTTGTCATGCATTAAGTCGAAAGCCATTCAATTCACCAATTAAAACCATAGTGCCAATATGATCAAGCAAACAACAGTACTTGGAGCCCTTAAATCTCAAATTTGGACAGTGGACTAGGCTCCAAGCACACAAACACCCAAACATTCACCCGCATACATAATCAAACACCCCCGCCCCCCACACTTAAGCACGACATTGTCCTCAATGGAGGAAAGATAAGGAGGGTAGAACGAAGTTACCAGATCAAGGGTGAATGATGATGGACCGGTCAGGCGGTCCATTCCAGAAAGAGAGAGTAATCAGAACACAAACACCACACAAAATCTTACAAAGGTTGAGTTATTGACTCTAAAATCAAATAACAAAACTGACTCAACCGAGGAGAAATAGAGAAAGAAATGCAAACCGACTGGTTGGGTTGCCTCCCAACAAGCGCTTCTTTCACGTCGTGAGCCAGACGATGGCTCCTAATTTTCGGTCCATGCTAGAACCTCCTTGAAGTTGAGGTTCTCGTCAATAAGGTGGAGTTGCAAGTCACGAGCATGTGGTATGACTGGTGATGGAAGCTCGTGCACTTGATGCAGATGAAGTCTCCATCCTCGAGACCTCTTCTTCTCTTCTCTCGTCCCATTGCCCCAAACAAGACATGACAGCATCGATTGGCCACCATCGCGTCCACCAAGAGGGACCAATGTCGATGTGGCCTTGGTCTGGCAAAGAGACACTGCAAATGGGTCCTTGCTAAGCAGTCCTTGAAGTTTGGTGGGGATATTACTTGTATTATAGGGCCGGTGCAAGCCTCCTCCACCTCAACTTCATCCTCAGCCTGGACACCACTCGCTTCTTCAACCCCCCTTCCTTCTTCAAAATGTGGTCTCTCTCCTCGGAAAATATCAAGAACTACCTCTTCTTTGCTTTCTTCCTCATCCTCCACAACTTCTTTCCTCACCCTTTCTCTCTCTTCTTCTTCCATAACTGATTGGAGAGCAAGTCGCCATGCAAGGTTCTCAATAAGTTCAGCTTGCATCTCCTCGCTCGGGACCAACATGTCAGAGCGGAAATGGGGAAAGTTGTGATCTACCACCAGAGGATACACTTGATCATGATTATCATGAGAGCTTTCCTTGACAACTTCTGTATGCTCCTCAACATCCTCATGATTGCCTTCTTCTTCCTCCACCTCTACTTGTATGGCAGCATAAAGGTTGTCTTGAGAAAACTGTGAACAGGCTTTCTCAATGACCTCTATGTGCTCCTTTATGCTCCGAAGGGTATCCTCTGTTTCACGGGGAAATGAGAAGTCAGTTTGGGCAATGGCCTGGATATGAGGATCCATCTCGGGAAAGGATCTCACAGGTACTCGAGCAATCTGCTCCACCAGAAGCCTCAAGTGATAGTTTGGATCCGGCTGTGGAGTGTAGCATGGCTCTGCCGGATTGCCCGTGAAAGCTGTGGCAAACCCAAGATCTGATGGTCCTTCTTGTTGTGGGAGGAATTCTTCTTGATAAGGAGATTGTTCTTGAAATACCCAGGGGTCTGATTGTTCTTCGTAGTAGGGGGGTTGGTACTGAAACCCGACTCCATAGTCTTCTCCTCCTTGGTTACTCCAGGGAGTCTCGGGGTAATACCACTCGGATGGTGGTGGATACCCCCAATGGTTGGAGAAGCCATGAGGGTCCATGATTCAGATCTGCACCAACAAAAACAAAAAACACCCAAGTGAAAAGCAAGGGCCGAAAACAAAAGAAAACGCTAAAGTAACAAACTTCCGCCTTTCCTAATAATCTAGAAAGTCCCCGGCAACGGCGCCAAAAACTTGACACGCCAAAACACAACACCTAACAATGGCCAAGTGTAACCAATGAAAGGGATTGCAGTATAGTGGCACAAGTAATAAATATCGAATCCACAGGTCTCTAGAGTTATTATTACTCAGCTTCAGTTCATTATCTAGCAAACTAGATTAAGGATTGATTTACTAAACTACTCTACTAATTACAAGTTGGGAACTCACTTAGGTATGATTCCCCCTAGCTCCTCAATTAGGTCCAAGTTGCAATTACCTTTGGTTGATCTACTAATGATTAAGCTGCGGAAGATCCTAAATTAGCTTGGAATCTCTTAAACTGACCAAGCCCTCTTAGACAGAATACCCGGCAGGCGACTAGCCTTCACCGGGATAGACTGCTAAGGCGATTCACACAGATCTCCTCTACTGGAATGAATTCCAGTACAAAGCAGTGAATTGATTGACTCTCGCACAACCAATTCAACACTATCAATCAAGGAAGCTCTCTTAATCTAATCAGATTCTATCTATCATAGGTTAAAGCAGAAATCAAGAGAATTTGATCAAGATTCAATTGACTCAATAAATCATGCCTCAATCGATTATAATCAAACAATATAACATCCAAAACTTCATACAAGAAAGATCCTAACACATGGAACTAGGGTTCCTCAAAACCTAAGTGAAGGGAAGTTACTCCATAGAGAAGAGAGAGACTGCAGAAATCTGATCTAGATCTTCAATCTCCATCTCCAAGCTTGATTCTCGAGCTCCAATGGTGAAGAAATCCTCCAAAATAGCTCAAAGAATATTCCCAAGTCGCTCTCTTTCTCTAGGGTTCGTCCCTTGGGTGTTTGGGATCCAAAACCCAGCTCTCCCTCTCCTTTGGCTCGAAATTTGGCTTAAAACCAGAGATTCCCGACTCACACGGCCAGGCCACACGGCCGTGTGGCTTTCCCAGATGCCCGTGTGAGTGCCAAAACGCGGCGTTTCGATTAATGGGCAACCAGCCAAGCTACACGGGCAGGGGCCACACGGCCGTGTGTCTCCCCAGGATGCCCATGTGAGTGCTCGGTAAATCGCACACGGCCACGTGGCCAGGTCACACGGCCGTGTGGGTTTTTGGTGTGCCCGTGTGGCCTGCTCAGCCTCTGTTTAATGCTTCGTTTCTCCCTCGTCCGGACTCCGAATCAGTCGCCGTTTGATCCCAGACGCTCGTAGTCTCGTTCTCTTTCTTTTCATGATAAAATTACATGATTATTTGTCCATAATATGAGGCATAAGTCCATTATTCCTCAGGTCATGCTCGTGTTTCTTCTCCCGAATTGCCAAATGATCTCTGATTGACTTGAAACTTGCGCCTATGCTTCAATTCACATGCTAGGATCTGAAATGTGACAAAGGAATGCAACCTAGCGTAAAATAGTCCAAGAAAGAAGAAACTCAAGCCAAAATGATTATGAAACGAGGGTGCAAACATGTGCAAATCCGATGTTATCATGCTCTATTCAACTCAGGGAGAGGTTCTTTCCTAGGTCAAAAGCTCAATTGACATGTAGTGGGATCAAGATTCATGAAATTCATCATAAATATCAATCAAATAAATAATATTCATAAGAAATCATAGTATTTGTCACATACATCAACAATCCATCCAAAATCTAGAAATAGGGTTCATCACCCTAGTGAAGAGGCTAATTCATAGAGAATATAGGGATTACAATACAAAGCTTGAGATGCCCGCGAAATGTCCATAAGCTACTAGAAATTTGTGATCTTCACAATTTGGGGTGATTTTAATGTCCTCTAGGTATTACACATTTGCTCTGCTCCGTGAAGCTTGCACAACTATACTTTTTTGGCTCGTTTGAACCTCTAAATATCTTGAAACTCGTACTCGAGCTTCCCACATGTACTAGGACCTTAAATGTGAGAAAAGAAGCAAAAACTAGTGTAAATAAGGTTGCATAATGATGATTACCAAGTCAAACAATCAAGGTATTAAGGGGTAAACATGTACAAATATGCCCGAACCAGACTCCCCCGGGTCTCTTGACTCTAGCAGAAGAAGCATCTAGCATGAGACATGACTTCTCAATCAAGTTCGTGAGGAGGAGAGGCATTCATTGGAAACATGTGAAAAGTAGAAGGAAGGAGTTAGACACTAGAAAGCTATCCAAAATTTCCCCAAAAAACACATCCTCAAATGGTACTCTGGTCCAAAAGAAAAGCCCTTGACGACCTAACTTAAACACTATGACCGGTTGCCTCTCACGTGAGCTACTTTTTTTCAAAATTGGAGCAACTGTTTGCAAAATCTTTTGGAGTCTAAAATTGGGGAGGGTCTCACACATATGCACTAACCTCAATAGAAATGGTATGAACGCACCCAAGAGGAATAGAAGCAAAATCCCTCATGTACCAAGAAACCTCGTAACACCACACTACTCTCTATAATATTAATGCACACCATCACAATCATCACCCAATTCAAAGTATACTGAGTAAGTACATGCATAGGACAAGGTGTTTGGGATGCTCAATTTTTTTAAATATGGGTAAGCAGTACTAGGTTCCAAAACCCACTTAATGTAGGCCATAAACAAAATCATTCATACATGTGCTTGGAGCCCTCAAAATTTTGAAATTTGGGCATTCTTTAAGGCTCCAAAACATTCATTAGAATAGGCCAAACAATTAATTCAGACCACCCATTTACACAAACACACACATATCGTGGAACACCCCCTCACTTAAGCACGAATTAGGTGACAAAGATGGTGGAGGGACTAGGAGGACAAATGAGATCCGAAAGAGCGAGCCAAAGTAAAAAACACCGCAAGCTCCCAAATGTCAATTTATTGAGTCAGAAACCAAAGCAAAGTGAAAAGAAATGCAAATTGGAGTGGTTGGGTTGCCGCCCAACAAATGCTTCTTTAACGTCATGAGCTGGACGGTGATGCCCAAGTTTCTGTCCATCCCCAAACCTCCATGAAGTTAACATGTTTATCGGGCACCTTAAATATTTGTCGGTGATGCTAAATAAATTGTCAAAAAGAAAATTTTGACTCAGCATCAACTAACTAAATTAACATGTTTAACGGGCACCTTAAATATTACTTTAACCCAACCGTTAAATTTAAGTGTAAAATAATAGTAAAACTACTTAATTGGTATCCTTAGCAACAAAACAAGTAAAGTGGTACTTTAGCAACAAAAAGAAAGTTTAGTGACATCTCATGCACAGGGGCGTAGCTAGGATTTCGCTTAAGGTGGGTCTGAAAAAAAATTATATAATAAAAATTATTAATGTTTACAATGATCCACGACATGTTTTCATATATTTAAAAGTCTGTAAATTACATTAATCATCCAACCTATCTAAGATGTCACTCTCAACATATGCTACCAAAAAATCATTAAAACCTTCATCGCTCATTCGACTTAGTAGTGTGTTCTTCACGTAGTTTATTGTGGAAAATACTCTTTCAACACTTGTAGTGGAAACTGGTAACAACAATGTCTGTTGATGTGACTTGAATCGGACTATCAGCCGCTACGACTAATAGTCGGGGGTCTCGTTGTAATCTGTAATCTCCTCGATATAGTGAAACTGGCTCTCTCTCGCCCGTAAACGTAGCTAACACACATCGTGTTAGTGAACCACGTAAATCGTGTGTCTGTGTTTTTCGATTCTCGCTTTCGTATTATTGCTTTATCACAAGTGGTATCAGAGCCGCGGCTGGAAATCAGGTTAGGGTTTTCGATTCAGAAGAATGATGTCGGTGAATATGAAGATCGAAAAGTTCACGGGGAAGAACAGCTTCGCTATATGGCAAATCAATATGCAGGCTTTATTAAAACAGCAAGGGCTGTGGGGGCCGCTGTCTGCGAAATAGAAGAAGGCAGCGGTCGATGACGATGAGTGGATACCCTGGAGGAGAAGGCCCACTCGACCATCATGCTATCGTTGTCTGATTACGTCATTATTGAAGTCGCTGCTGAGAAGACTGTCGCAGGCTTGTGGTTAAAGTTGGAGAGTCTGTATATGACGAAGTCCTTAACCAACAAGCTGCATCTCAAGCAACGGCTGTTCAGCTCGAGGATGCAAGAAGGTACGCCTTTGAGGGAACATCTCGAACAACTTAACTCTATTTAGCTGGATCTGCGTAATATAGATGTTCAAGTTGATGACGAGGATGTGCCCTAATCCTACTGGTTTCTTTGCCAAGTTCATATGAGAATTTTGTTGATTCTTTTATTGCTGGTAAAGAAAGCGTGTCATTGGAGGATGTCAGGTCTGCTCTTCATACAAGAGAGATCAGGCATAAGGCGTCTGGATCTAGTACAGGTGGTGAGGCATCGGGTTTGGCTGTTACAGGTGGAAAGGGAAAGAAGAAATCTGGTAAAAGGAATTCGAACAAGAATACCAAGGGTCCCGGTCCACAGCTAGGTGATGCTTGTCACAACTGTAAGGAAGTGGGGCATTGGAAGTACAACTGTCCCAAGAGAAGAGGGCGACAGAAGAAACAAGGTTCAGTTGTCGTGGCAGAAGTGGACAACAGTTCTGAAGACGATCTCGCATTGGCTGTAGATGAGAAGGCACATCGTGGGGATGTGTGGTTTCTGGATACTGCAGCCTCATGCCATATGTCTCCGAACAGGGATTGCTTCACAACCTAAAATCAGATAGATGGTGGTAACGTGGTCATGGCAAATGGAGCTGTCTGCAAGGTTGTTGGAATCGGGTCCATAAAGGTTCGGGCACATGATGGTTCGTTCTGTACCGTGAATGATGTCAGGCATGTTCCACGAATGACAAAGAACCTGATCTCCTTGAGTCTACTCGACAGCAAGGGTTTCAGCTTCAAAGGAAAAGGTGGAGTTGTGTATGTCTGCAAAGGTTCAAGGAAGGTGCTGAAGGGCGTGAAGCGTGGGACCTTGTAAGCATTACAAGGATCTGTGTTGTCGGGTTCTGCTGCAGTTGCATCGTCTCAGGTTCATCAGGAAGATATGACCACTCTCTGGCACATGAGACTGGGGCATATGAGTGAACGGGGGATGCAAGTTCTGTCGAAGAGGGATCTTCTTTGCGGGCACAAGATGCCGAATTTGGAATTCTGCGAGCATTGTGTGTTTGGGAAGCTACATCGCAGCAAGTTTCCCAAGAAGGGTATCCACCGGACGAAGGGGATACTAGATTACCTCCACTCTGACAGTTGGGGTCCTTCACGAGTTGAATCTATTGGAGGCAGCAGGTATTTTCTGTCTATTATTTATGATTATTCGAGATTTACTTGGATTTTCATGATGAAGCAGAAAAGTGAGGCTTTCACGAAGTTCAAGCAGTGGAAGACATTGGTGGAGAATCAGACCGGGAAGAAGATCAAGACTGTGAGAGATATTGACGGACAATGGTCTGGAGTTTTGTAATTCTGAGTTCAACGAATTCTGCAAGGATGAAGGGATTGCCCGTCATCGGACTGTGAGAGATACACCCCAGCAGAATGGCGTTGCAGAAAGGATGAACCAGACATTGTTGGAGAGAGCACGGTGCATGCTCTCTAATGCTGGACTAGAGAGAGATTCTGAGCAGAAGCAGTGAATATGGCGTGCTTCTTGATCAACCGTGGACCTCACACAGGTATCGAGTTGAAGACTCCTTATGAGGTGTGGTATGGTAAGCCTGCTGATTACTCTTCACTGAAAGTTTTTGGGTGTCCTGTTTATTATCATGTGGATGAGGGTAAACTTAACCCAAGGGCAAAGAAGGGTGTATTTGTGGGTTACGGAGATGGATTTAAGGAATTCGAGTCTGGTCACCTTCTGAGCATCGAGTTATACTCAGTAGAAATGTGATATTTGATGAGAAGTCTATGTTTAACCCCATGTTGAAGGTTACTGTTGTTGAAGGTAGCAGGAATGTTGATAAGCAGGTGGAGCTGCAAACTCTCAAAGAGAGTGAGTTTGAGCACCAAGGTGGAGAAGATCAACATGATGAGAATGTCTCTACAGAGCGAGAAATTTCAGAGTCCAGTGCAGGAGCTCAACAGTCTATAGCTTCCGGTAGACCAAAGAGAGCGACTGCAGGAGTACCTCCAGAGAGGTATGGTTTCGAGGACATGGTGGCGTATTCATTTCAAGTTGCTGAAGAAGTGGATGCAGGTGAGCCACAGTCCTATAAAGAAGCCGTTTCGGGTGGCGAAGCTGATCAGTGGCTTGCCGCAATGGAAGATGAGATGGAATCCCATGACAGGAATCAGACTTGGGAGCTAGTCAAACGACCACAGGGAAGGAAGATTGTTACAAAAAAGGGGATCTACAAGAAGAAGGAAGGAATCACTTCTAAAGAGGGCATGAAATTTAAAGCTCGGGTGGTTGCACGAGGCTTCTCGCAGAGGGAAGGAGTTGACTACAATGAGATTTTCTCACCAGTGGTCAGACATACTTCGATCAGAGTGCTACTAGCAATATTGGCACATTATGACTTGGAGCTCGAGCAACTAGACGTGAAGACAACTTTCCTACATGGAGAGTTGGAGGAGGAAATTTACATGACTCAGCCAGAAGGATTCGAGGTACCGGGAAAAGAAGACTATGTTTGTAAGCTGAAGAAGTCCTTTTATGGACTTAAGCAGTCTCCGAGGCAGTGGTACAAGAGATTTGACAGTTACATGCTTGAGCTGGGCTATAGCAGAAGTCCATATGATTGTTGTGTGTATCACAACAAGGTGGAGGATGGTTCGATGATCTATCTTGTTCTGTATGTGGATGATATGCTCATAGCTGCGAGGTCAAAGTCTGATATCCAGAAGTTAAAGGGGCTTCTCAGTGCTGAGTTTGAGATGAAGGATTTGGGAGCTGCTCAGAAGATCTTGGGTATGGAGATTTACAGGGATAGGTCGAAGAAGAAGCTTTTCTTGTCACATAAGAGCTACATCCAGAAGATACTGTCGAGGTTTGGCATGTCTCGGCAAAGCCCTTAAATACTCCCAGTGCTTCAAATGTTCATCTATCCTCAGCTTATGCACCGCAGTCAGAGGCTGAGAAGGAGTACATGTCGAGAGTCCCATATGCTAGTGCAGTTGGTAGCTTGATGTACGCTATGGTATGCACTAGACCTGATCTTGCACATGCTGTTAGTGTTGTCAGCAGGTTTATGATACAACCTGGGAAGGAGCATTCGCGGGCTGTGAAGAGAATTTTCCGATACCTTAAGGGTACACCTGATGTGGGGATTAGCTTCAGAAGTGATATAGAGTGCTTGGTGTCTAGGTATTCTAACTCGGACTATGCTGGAGATGTTGACACGAGGAGATCGATGACCGGTTATGTATTCACTCTTGGGAGTTCTGTAGTGAGCTGGAAGGCAACTTTGCAGTCGGCGGTGACATTGTCTACTACTGAGGCAGAGTATATGGCGTTGACAGAAGCTGCTAAGGAAGGAGTATGGTTGAAGGGACTGGTTGGTGATCTGGGTCTACATCATGATCAGGCAGTGGTGTATTGCGACAGTTTGAGTGCAATATGCTTGGCCAAGGATTAAGTCCACCATGAGAGGACTAAGCACATCGACGTGAGGTATCATTTCTTGAGGACAGAGAAGAGGATTAAGGTGAAGAAGGTTGGCACGGAGGATAATCCTGCTGATATGTTCACGAAGCCGGTTCCACATGGCAAGTTCCAACACTGCTTGGACTTGCTGAATGTCTTGAGTGGGTGACTCCGCCCTACGGGGCATTGATGGAGGGAGAGAGATAGAAGGAGCAGAGTACATCAGAGATTTCAGAGGAAGAGGATTCAAGTCAAGGTGGAGATTTGTTGATGTGACTTGAATCGGACTATCAGCCGCTACGACTGGTAGTCGGGGGTCTCGCTGCCCGGTCAGCGAGTGGGGTCCACGGTGTATGGGCTCAATGTTATTTGGGTTCGGGTTCTGGGCCTGGTCTGTAACCGTTTCCTTTGCCAGATTGGATTACGTTTAGACCCACATGGAGAAGTACTATAAATACTTCTCATACTCTTCTGTAATCTGTAATCTCCTCGATATAGTGAAACTGGCTCTCTCTCGCCCGTGGACGTAGCTAACACACATCGTGTTAGTGAACCACGTAAATCGTGTGTCTGTGTTTTTTTATTCTCGCTTTCGTATTCTTGCTTTATCGATTCCGACGATTTCGCGATCCGTAGCAGCGCGTTTATAACAATGTCAATTTCACAAGTCGATACACCAATGGAAATTGTCGAAAATTCTTTGACACAACCAT